CCTTTTTCTCTTATTCATTGCTTTTCTACACATAATTCTAAGCACCGCTTAGATGGTGTCAATGTTCAAGTGCACCTCTGTGTTCATGATCTCCACCTCAGCTATAGACCTACAGTTTCCCATCACCTACTGGTTGGTTTTCTCCACTGGGAGGTTCCATGTGCATAGAGAGAAAAAAAAAAAAATTCAATATTTCCCAAACTAAACTCACTGCCTAAAATGGGACTTTTATCCTCCCAGCTTCCACTGTCTCTTCTGTCTTTGCTGTGTTTTTTTTTTTTTTTTTTTCCGTTACCGAGAATCGAACTCATGACCTCGTGCTTGCCTGGAAGGAGCTGTGCCACTGAGATAAATCCCCAGCCTCACTTTGTTGTGTTAATAAGTAACAGAATGAGAAAGCTGGGATCTACTCAGCCTTGCTACTTCCACTTTGTAAATACCCTCGCCTTATACCTTCTCCTGTAAGCAATTTGTCCATGCTACCTAGACCTTTCTATAGATTTCAACTCATCTCCCCATTTTAGGTTTCCCTCCATTTCCAGCCACCAACCACACCACTGAAACATCTCCCAGAAGGGTAAGTCTGTTCACTGACATCATTTCATGGGTCCCTACTGTCTTTGGGGGAAAAAGTTAAACTCCTGAGTAAGACACACCACTGGTCTTTAAAATTTCATCACTATGACTTCAACACCAATTCTGTCTGCTAGCTCCACACTCCTACTCCAAGAAGTCTTTTAAAGTTACTTGCAAACTTCCAATACCATTTTTTTCCAGGGTTATATCTTCCTATACACTGCTTTGTTTTCTTGGAACATTTATCCAGACCCATAACCTTCTTCACCACCAATCCAGTTTCTTTGTAATGCATTAATAGCTTATCCTACTATGTTCTGCAATATGCATGTCCTCTTCAAAACACTTCCAGTATTACTTTATGGTCTTAAATGTTGAATGTTTTGAAATTGAGAACCATGATTCCATACCCCATTTCCCCACATAGATAGTACAGTGTGTGGCAAATAATAACATATTATAGCTATGAAATCAGTTTTTCACTAAATATTTGTGGCATTTCCACACTGCAGGAGACCCTAGGACTTATCCCAATATAATTTACAGACAGGTTAGAAGATATAATAACTGTAACATGCAAGGCATCTTGAAATACCAAATACCAAATAAGTGATGAAATTAGGAAGTGACAAAAAAATGGATAGGTGAACAATTCTGGACACCTATGGGGCTACTCAGAAATGGTTTCAGAGAAACTGAAAGCCTTCAGCTAAACAGAAATATAGTAAGAAGTGGGGTGGAATTTAGAACAGTGAGCATCTAGATTTTAAGTTTCATGAGGTTAGGGAAAGGCTGGTCTCGTTCATTGCTGTCTATAAGGCTTTACACATCCTGGCGCATCGTGTCTAAGTATTTGTTGAGCAGAATTTTAAACTGTGCAGCTGGTGATGCAAGAAACATCTGTTTGTAAAAAATGGCAGTAGCTTTCTCCATTTGCCATTCCATAAAAAAGGTAATTTGTGTATGTGTTTACTAGAATTCTTTCCTCAAAAGTGAAATATTGCTTCACTCTTTGGTTGGCAAATACGCTGTTTCAAGATGGAGAAGAATCTGCTTTAAATGAAGAGAAAGCTATTTCAGTCCTTAATCCTCAGAGCCAAATTTGAATCGTAAAAAGCACTTCTCATCAAAGAATCTTAACAAAAAGATTCCTGCCAATTTAACCAACGCATCTAAATATATTTCATTCCAAAGACGAACTCCTGCTCAAGAGCATTCTCATTGAGTCTCTGCTGAGAAACAGTACCTTGGAATCATCACCAACACCGAGATACCATCAGCACCTTCCTCGGGACTCATAGCTCTATGCCATTTAGGAATTGTGCATTGTCCTCATGTTTTACTAAAGGCCCAAGTTTTCCTGGAAGTTCATGATAACTAAAAAGCTTATATTACAAACCAAATTGGAGAACAGGTAACATTGAGTTGAAGTCATCCTGTGCCTTCTCCTGTCAAGCCTGAGGAGATGGAAACTTACTGAGGTACATTACTGAACCAAGCACACTTAGGCAGAAATGGGAGTGGATGCTGGGTTTCTGGAGGGCTAGCCTGGTGATCAATGTTCATTAATCTATGTTCACAGAGCACTAAGACCCTTACATATATCATTTATTTAGTACAGGTAGCCGCCTAACATAGCTAGATTAAACTATTGCTCTCCTTCCACAGGTAAGCAAATTGAGCCCAATCTGGGTGTGGATATTGCAGTATGACTAAGCATCAGAAGTAGAACTAGTATCCAAGACTCCGTATTCTTTTAGGATCTCTCTGTCATTGCCATTTATAAGGAGCATCACATTGACAGGGACATTTATTCTTTCAGTACAAATGAGTCAATGACAATTTTAATGGTCTATTTCCTACAATTCTTCAAAGGAACATGCGCTATAATAAGCAAAAGTTACAATTAACCAGTCCACCAAGTACAATGAAGGAGAAATGTATATGTTAATCAACTTTGATATTTCACTTAAATAGCCAAGCGACCATTTTTAGAAAATGAATCTGACAAAAAGATTCTAACACTTTTAGACATGAATACAAGGGATAATATACAAGAACATTTTCTTTTATTTAGGCACTAAAGCTAGAATTATTCATCTGTTGCTTCAAAACAAATACCATATTGAAAAATAAATTAACATATAAAACAAAAATTTTCTTTACAGGACTAATTCATGACCATTGACATTTCTAGATTAAATAAATGTTAATTTTTCAACAAGTCAAACTGTGATTGGACAAACCTATGAATGTTATAATGAGGCTAAGAAAGGAATCTGGCTTGGAATTTTTAATACTTGGGTCTAATCATTAATGCTGTAATGCTGTCCCATTTACAACCTGACATTTATTTTTGCACTTTCAACATCCCATGATTTTTCAGCAACAGTAAATAGCTTTAAATAATGACACCTTGCCTTAGCTGGATCTATATTTTGACTAGCAGGTCTTGGCATTTGTATCCACCTCAGATACCTCTCCAAAAATGTTTTGTGCAGGAAAAAATGAACAGAACTTAAAGTGACAAAAACTCAACCTCCTGAAATACTGTTAGATGTAATACATCTAAATTCTTAGCTAACCTATTGCAGTAAACTCTCGTCACTTCATGATTGTCTGTTTTGGATTCTCTTAATTTATTTCCACAAAATATCATTGTTGCGATGGTCTGAATAAGTAAGTAGTAAAGAAGTAAGGAGTGAAGTAAAACTTGAGAGAGAGAAAAGAATGTAAATAAAGAGAAATGGAAAAGGAAAAAAAGTGTGACTCAATTATGTATGGGAAACAAAGAATCACACATGATTTCAATACAACTTTGTTTTTAGTAACACAATTTAAATACAAGTACTTGGGACTTCGGAGGCACATACATTAGGGCATTTTGTGTATGTATGTGCATTTCAAAATATAAACTGATAAAATCTTCTCAAGCTTTACTAAAGTGAATGTTTGTTTATCTGAGAAAGTAATTTATTAAGGAAGAAATGTTATCCATATAGGGGAATCTCATAATATGTTGTCCTGATTCATCTCACACCCAGCTTAAATTACGGTCTTTAGTCTATATTTATATCATATATGATAATAAAATATTTCCAAGTACTTAGAATATAAGAAGTTTCATATCATTAAACATTACTGAAATTTTTGAATTTTCATAAATGCCTAAGAATCTTGAGATAACCCCCTGATTATCACTGATTTGGGGATATGCTTGTTATTTGAGTTTCCTCTTTTTTTGAATTGTGGGAATATGAAAACTTGTGTGATGGTGAGAGAAACATAGTGCTCTGGGCCTCTTGAGTTAATTACTAAGTGTCCTAACTTTTAAGTCTTCATGGCTGACGTGGGAGTGTTTCCATAGAAACTTACATACACTCCCTTCTTCAATCTATCACCCACCTTTTAGGAAGACTAGCACCATAACACACTATTCTGGAATGTGCCGTAAGCTATCAGAATGGAAAGCCACACTGGACACTTACATTGAACTGTGGCTTACTTGCAAGAACTTTTCCAAATGGAAAACTTTAACAACAAAGAGTAGAAAGTCACTGAAGAAATGCCCCAAGTGGGGGAATCCGGGACGCTTGTCATTGTGATGCATGTCTGCAGTGATCCAACATAGGCAGCAGGGGGCGCTCCCGCATGAAGCAAACCCCCCACAAGTGCTTCCTAGTTGGGGAACACAGGTTTATTCTATTAGCACTTGCCCCAAGTCTAACGAGGTAGCTACTAGGAAGGGAGCTATCAACAAACTGTGCAGGCTTAGGACACATAATGAATATCATTGTAAAAATGACCAGAGATGACACATGAGCCTGAGCTTGCTTTTTGAAAACTGGGGGCAGGTTTAATTATGTTTATTTTGATAACCAAAAGGGGTTAAAGGAGGATGACATCAGTGGGGGTGGGGAGGAAGTTTGCCATTAACTATAAAGTGGTGATTTCCAAAAGCAACAAGTGGGCATAGGTATCCCTGGGTCATTAATTCGACCTCGTTAAAAGGTAGTTTGCAGGTTATATTTTCTGTTAAATAAATTCTTAAATAAAAATCTCTCTTCTTTTCCTGACCTAACCCCAACCCAGAAAATCACTTGATAAATTTAATTTTCTACAGTCTAAAAAAATGTCGCTTCTACAGAGGGTCTCCAGCATGTGACTGAATTTTACATGTGAACACGTGACATATTTTACTCACTCTACACCAAGACCCAAGTAACAGAACCAGTTGGATAATTTTGAAGAATAAGAGCCAACTCTGGGACCCAGAACACAAAATTCCAAAGCAGAATCCCCTGCCCTTGCCCCCACTTCATGTATATTTTCATGTGTACCCCTCCCCAGGGGGCCGGGTCCCTGCTCCTCTCAGCCCCCAAATAAAGATCTGCAGAAGCACAGCACAGACCTCGGTAACTCACCATATTGACTTCAGAAACCATATCGATGCTGGCAATATCAATGTTCATTCCCACAGCCACAGGGGGACCTGCAAGCCAAGATGGTCAGCCATGTGACTTCTCAGAACTTATGCATTCTAACAAGAGTTGTCCCCGGGCATGGGACTCCCTACCCCAAACTCCTCTCCGCTGCTCACCCTCAAATGCTTCTCTTCCCTGCTCCTTGGGGCGCTCACTCTTCTAGGAATCGCTGTATTGAATATGCACACACGTGTGGTGTTGGCGAGGGAGTACAGCTCTGTCCACCCATGTGAGAAGTCTCATACACACACACACACACACACACACGCACGCACTCACGCACACACACACAACTCGCAGAAGCACGAGAGTCTTTCCAGCCGAAGGGATTTTTATAAATATTCTCCCAAACCCCCTCCTCTTCATTCGTTCCCAACCCTTTTCTATGAGTAAGTTTTAACTCTTTGAGGTCCAGAAGAATCTGAAGAAAAATTAAATGGGCACATCAGCATATCTAGCACCACAGCAAGAGATGTCCTCCTTCCCCAGCCATGTCCCGCCCATTTCCCCCACCCTCCCACCCCATCCAGTCCTCCTGTCTTCTCACCCCATGCTGAAGCTTGAAGGACAGGCTAATATCCAGACATAAACCACGGCCAGAGCAACTCTTCCAAAGTAGGCAGGTACAGGGGGTTAATGCCACCTCTCAACCAACTGCCTGCACATCTTGTCCTCAAAAATGTTCACGATGGCCTTCTGTGAGACACTTCTCTAGGCACACCACTCACTAAATTTAAGAGGCTTGCAGCTCAAGAAAGGTAGCGAAGGAAAGGATTTGTGACAGTAAAGCCGAAGGAGAGCAATCACCCAATTTGATGGTCTCTTTGAACAACCTCTCAAGTGCCGGATAGTAACAAGCCAGATTAAGTTTGGATCAGTTTCTCAGTGTGAAAAAATAGGGAGACATTCAGTACACCACATGCACCCACAGCCAAGCACAGGAAAGAGAGCGCACACAAAGCCCAAAAGACAGCTTAGCTTCTGCTGTAGCTGGGCTGCTTCTTATTTGCAAGGCAACCCCATTACCTCCAAAATCTGGTCTCAGGCGAATGTCATAGCCTTTGAGTAGTCTGTCCACCGTCTCTTTAACCAGCGACATATTACTAGGGTCATTGACACTGAAGAAAGAAATGACAATAAACAGGCATCAGTAAGGAAGCAAGCACACTCCGCGTCTTCAGCCTCTGTGTTCACAGAGGTATGCAGACAGCGCTTCAAGTGAGAAAGGAAAAAGACACTTACCTTTGAGCACAGACCGCGGCGATTATTAGGGGAAATGTCCAAATCCCAAAGTAACCCCTTTTCCGGACTCTCCACATCCCTTTAGTTTTTGATAGGATTGAGGGTTTCACTGAAGAGAGGAGATCCAACTTAGTCTGCCCAGTGCAGTAATTCTAATGTGAGGCGCATGCGCACGGCGTACCAAAACATCAAAGGGGCAGCGGCGGCTGCCGGGGACCAAGTAGATTTCCTTGTTTAAAAAAAGAAAATTAAAGGGGAAAAAGGAAAAGCAGATATGTATAATATATGCATATTTAAATAATATAAAAAGACACCCCACGGGAGCATTCAGAGTAAAACCTTTGTTGTCCTTTCGTTAAGACAAAAACAATCACAGCATCTGGTAAGTTTTGATAGTTGCAGGAAGCAGTTTTGCACCTCGCGGGTTGTGCTTCTTTGGCGTGTGTGTGTGTGTGTGTGTGTGTGTGTGTGTGTGTTCTTAAATATGCAAAACCAGATTAAGCATTTTGGGGCTAGCAGGTGTAGGATGCGGGAGATGAGCGCCTGGAAGCCCACTTACGATCTGGGCAGCGGACTGGGCGAGGAGTCTGAACTTTATTTTCTTGGCGAACAGCATCCCCTGCCTGGGGCGACACCGGGGCGGGCGGGCGGGGGCGCACGCGGGTGGGGGCCGAGCCGAAGGGGTGGGAGCAAGGACGGCCGGGGTGCAGAGCTGAGCAGCCCGGTGCATTTGGGGCAGGGGGCGGGGAATAAGAAAGAAAAGGGGAGAAAAGGAAGAAGGGGAAAGAAAAAAGATACAATGATGCCTGGTCTTTCTTAGGAGTCAAGGAGCAAGCTTTTCTTCACTACTCACGAGCGGTTTTCCTTTACCTCCTCCTCCTCGCCCTTTGCCCCGTGTTCCCACAGAAGGAAACCTCGGGGTCCTGGTTTCTCGCCGTGTGACGTTCCTGACCCGCTAGTCCGGGTTATTTATAGCAGGCGGGGGAGGGGGCGAGGGGAGCGGGAAGGCGAGGCTGCCTCTCCAGGTCCCGCTCCGGTTCTGCAGCGGGAAATTCGCAGTGGGCAGGTGGGGTCGGGCCGGGGAGACGGACGCGGGGGCGGAGGGCACAGGTGCGGCTCCGCCGGGGCGTGGGCAGCGGCCCCGCGCGAGGGCAGGTTGGGGGGGGACT